GGAACAAGCCCAGAACTACTTCGGAGGAACTTGGTTCATGAAGAAGCATATTAAGGTCTTGGAGTGGCCTAGACAGTCTCCAGGCCTTAATCCCATAGAAAATCTGTGGAGTGAGATGAAGGTTTGAGTAACCAAACATCAGCCATGAAACATTAAAGACTTGGAGAGGATCTGCAAAGAGGAGTGGGACAAAAACCCCCCTGGGGACCACTGTGATTCCCAGTAAAGATTTTGCCACCAATTACTAAAGCACATTTTGCAAAGCGATCAAATACTTATTTCATTCTTAAAAATGCAAATTAATTTATAACTTTTCTGAAATGCATTTTTCTGGATTTTTTTGTTATTGTTCTGACGAAAACTGCTCAAATAAACATGGCATTTGAATTATAGACTGTTCATCTCTTTGCTAATAAGCAAACTTACAAAATTAATTATTTACGTGACTATATGATGTCAGTGAAAAGTTTCAGAGAACACCCCAATTTTTCCAGTTATTCATTGCAATTCAAGTCGTTAGGTCCAATAAATAGCTTGAAATGATACAAAGGTAAGAATTCAACTGCCAAAGGTTAAAAAAGCAAGGTTAACCAAAACTGAAAAATAATGTACATTTCAGAATTATACAAAACTGCCTTTTTTGGGGAACACAAAATGGGTTAACAATTTAAAGGTGTTCTGCAGCAATGGAGGTTGGTCAAGCCTTGAAAGCTGGTGCTACTAATTCCTACAGGTCGTCCAACTTTTCTGGATTACTTACAACCCCCTCTGTCTGCATAAAAGCAGTTTTGGAATACACTGGGGGACTATACCCTCATGAGCACATATCCACACAATTATAGATTATTATAATTACGATAATGCACACTGTATTTTAAAATAAAATACATTAGGACACAGATTATATTAGATTTATATTTGAAATATGACAAAATGGTGATTTACAGCATGAGAATTATTGCATCTCTACACTTTAAACATTTAATAAGCTTTCTGCCTTGCACAGAGTGGATAGTCAAACAAATTGAATCATCAATTTTTATTCTTATTACTTTATTATTATAGCACTAGGAATAAATAATAAGGGAAGTATTCTGGATCCAAGCACTGTCACCAATCTTTGCATTTTATTATTATCTCATAACACTTCTTTAGTCAGCTACCATCTCTTCTATGGGCTTTTTAATGTCTACAGTCTCAGATCAACACAACCCTGCCCTCTGCCACTATCAGCAGCTATCTCTCAAAAGCAACATTGTACCCCATCAGGTAAAACATTGGCTTTGTTTGCTTTGCATTGTCCCCACCTGATGACAGTGATATAGTGTGATGTGATTCTGTATCAGATTCTTCATGAATGTGAATTGTTGTTATTCAGCCTGGTTCTATGTGCCCCTTTTTAACTTTAAGCACCCGCCCCTTCAAACATCTCTAAACAGCTCTGGTGCTCTGCATATAGAGGATTTGCTGACATGCATGACTGGCAGCAGGTTGCCTAATTGGTCTTGCCCAGCAGGACTGGCAGGGTATAGACGGTTTGCTGACTGGAAAACTCTACGGGGACTGTGGCTGTCCCAAGTGGTCTAGTGTGCCTGTAGCTCAGATGGTTGCTGTCAGGGTGAATTGTTAAATATTGTCATTTTTATGTTTGCCATTTGTACATTGTTTTAATTCTGTGAAAGGAATTCTTTCTGTCCTCCCCTCCCCAGATTCTCGAGGTTCTAAGTGGGGGACTGTAGGGCTGTAGTCTTTTATCATCCTTGTGCTTTTGATGTAAGCTTCCTGCGTTTACGACCCTTTGGTCAGCAGGAGGTCTAACACACACACACACACACACATTCTCACATAACACACACACAGTGCCTTGTCTTTGTAACCAAGGGGGGTTACGTGGGGAAGGTACGTGTTATAAACTATTGTTTATTGTGTGAACGTTGCCAATAAAAGAGAGCGAGAGGGGGCAGTCGGACAGGTCATTTTGTGATGTGCTAAGGTACGGACAAGGCCCCCCTTGCAAGTAAAAAGATCGATCGCTGTTGCCTTGTCTTTCTTTCATGGGAATAAGTTCTGGGATCAGCGGGGTCTGACTTAGACCCAACAGTTGCGTAGGCCACCTACTAATTACGAAGGTTGGAGGGTTGATCCCTGTCTGTATGTCAAATATCTATCTATCAAATATCTATATCTTGGACAACATCCGCCTCTCAGACACCACCCTAAGGGAGTCCAGCTCCATCCCCACAGCATTGCTGGCCTTGCCAATCAGTTTATTTAGTCTGTTGGCATCTCTGACCCTCAACCTGCTGCCCGCAGCATGCAGCAGCATGGAGGATAGCACTGACTCCAACAGAGATACAACAAGATAGCATTAATTAGTAAGGATAGTGAAAACTTCTGTTTATGTTTTTAGCCACCACTTGGCTAATTAGCCATTGTTGATTGTTGATTTGTCTCCTATCCTCAATTATAATGGCTGTTTGTTAGCCATTTTCATCTCTCTCGCTCTCTCTCTCTCTCCACACACACACACATTCCCCGCTCGCCCCTGTGGGTGGTCTATCCTTCAAGCTCGGGTCCTCTACCAGAGGCCTGGAAAATATCCTAGAGCAAGATATTAACCGCAACTTGCTCTCTGGTGCATCCATCAGAGTATGAATGTGTGTGAATGTTACATTGAAAGCACTTATGTAGAAAGAGAATAAAAGGAAGTTCTTGAGTGAATAAGGCAAGTTTTGTAAATCACTTAAATGCTCAGACAGAGTAGAAAAGAATTATATAAGAACCAGTTCATTTACTATTTGCCTATCTGGTATTTGGGTGTCATTAAGTTGTCTCAAAAAAAGTGTGCTGTGGAGGTTTGGGAGATCCAGCAGCATGGGTAACATCAGGCTCCATTCTCCTATGACCAACTTGGGAGAATGGACTCAAGTGTAAACAACACTCAGAGGCACAGAGAATGTGTGTGTGTGTGACTTTTATTACAGAGAGCAATATGTGACAAAAAGCAAAAACAAATGCAACAAGCACTTAGCGAGTTAGCCATGAACTAAGAGCGAGAGAGAATAAAGCAAACTATGAACCCACAGCGCAAAGTAATTCTATGATACACTATGAACTAGAATAATACATATGATGCACTTGAACAGCACTATGAGAGTCACAAGAGTGCTGAACTGTGAATCATAAGCTAGGCAGTCACTAAGTGAACTGTAAGAGAGTCCTTTGAATGAGCTGTTTGGTTGGTGAGGACAGAAGCCTGGGACCCTGACATTGTGCAGGAACTCCGTAATTCGGGGCAAAGGGTAATTACAAGGCAGGATTCTCAGAGTCACTGAAACGAGGGAAACAGGAGTTAGAAGGAATTCCAGACACTGATCTAGAGTGAAAGTGGCAATTTGCAAACAGTCTTACTTTTTGCAGGTGGGGGCGAAGCATAGAGGGGTAGGTGCTCCAGGTGAGGAGTGAAGGAAGTCCAGTACACAGATCCGTGGTTGTCAGTGAACAGGGCAGGTAGGTAGGCAGGTGAGCAAAGTGCTGAAACTGTCAGCAGCAGTGACTGAACAAGGCAGTTTATGGCAGTGTGGAAACAGACGTCTGAAGGATTACTGAGAGTAGAGAAAACAAGGTTAGTACAAGAATAACTATGAAAGACTCTTTAACTATGACGGCCTTCACTAACAACAAGGGTTAGCAGATGATCTAGCGAGTAGGGGTTGTCATTAAACCCCCACAGTCTATTTACTCACAGGCAGTGGAGGTTTTTGATATAGGCGACATGAGCCGTTGCCCAGGGCAGCATCATGGGCATCAGCAAAAAAAGTTGCTCTCACCCGTGCTGCCCCGACATCATGGCAATCATTTGTGATTGTATTGAGGAGGGTGGGCTACTTCCAAATAGAGCATTTCATTCATAATGTTGTAAATCCAAGCCCATTATGTATTAATTATTTTTTCCTGGGTTATGCAAAATCAGAGAAAAAAACCCCATACAAACCAAACCTGTGCAATAAGGTGTAGGTGTGCTAGGTTATGTTGTGGTGATTCTCAGGTTGTTGGATGGGTGTTGATATTGGAGTGCGAAATTAAAACCAATGGAAGATGAACAAGAAAAGGTTAAAGCAATCAGCTCAGTTTAGAAAAAAGAGAAAAGAAGAGGAGGAGAAAACGAGCAAAGGTTAAGGTAGCAGATGTGCCATTGGATAATAGTTGGTCATGTATCCTGAAACAATCAGAATCAGAATCAGAATACTTTAATCCCTAAGGAAATTATTTGGGTTACAGTTGTCACAAAAATAAATTTTTAAAACAGTAACAGTGGCAGACTAAACTATTTAAACAATACTATATGTTACAGATTTTACAAATTTAAGAAATAGCACAAATATATACAACTCACTCAATTATAAATATCAAGAATTAGCAGATGTGATTTTCAATGAATATCAAGAAAATTGACAAGAATATTACAGAGCAGAAAAGAGCATCTGTGTAAAAAGGGTGTAACTATTGCAGTGTTTACAGTGTATTAGATGGAGGACACAGGAATGATTTCCTGTGTCGTTCAGTGGTGCTTTTTTGGAAATCTCAGTCTCTCACTGAATTTGCTCCTATGACTAGCCAGCATGTCATGGAGTGGGTGGGAGATATTATTCAGCAGTGTCTCTACACAGCAAATCCAGCATGTCCAAATTAACACTGTCAGATTTGATTTCAACACTATTAAAGTGTCTATATGGGTCCACACCAGAGAGTGTTAATTTAACTCTTTTTGGAGAGTTAGTACGTTAACTCTGATTTAGTGTTAAACACCAAATCTGTCTGGAGTTGATAATTTAACACTTGGTGTTAAGAGTTTATATATTAACTCTCAAAGAGTATTTTAGTTTAACTACGTAAGAGTTATCTTCTAATTAATTCTAAAAAGCGGGAATTTTACTGTTCTGAACTTCTAGAAATTTCTTTTGGAAATAAACATTTACTAAAAAGATGCAATGGTTTCGAAAAACATTTATTCTGAACTGTGCACCACAATTTTAAAACATTTTCTGAAAGATGTAACAGTGTACATGTTCTCACTTTCATTAGAATTTCGTTTATCAAAAGGTGTGACATAGGTGAGCTGGTAAATGCAAATAACAGCATTCTCATCACTTATTTCAATAAATACAAAATACAATATGCATGTCCTTCATTCATCACTTTGTGGAACTGCAACGCACTTCTGCTCTCCCCCATATTCCATCTTCACAAGCATATCCTATGTGGAGATTGAATAAAAATTAGTTGACACTAATTAATGGCACAACTTAATTGCAGCACAGTAAAAAAAAAGGAATCATTTTTGAGCCATTACTTGTGTAAAGTATTTTCCCAAAAGACAAGGACACAGGCAACAGGTAATACTGAACTAAATGTAAAAAAACTGTATTAAATGTAAAACCTCAACCTTTTTCATTTTTACCTAAACCGTGTGCACAAAACTCTGGAGGGATCTAAATGCTAACGTAGAACCCAGTCAGGACATCTGCTACTGCTGTTTGCTCGTTTTTTTATGGGAGATCATTTTCAGGCTTCAAGTAGCACCATTATACCAACATTTCACATTCTAGACATTGTTTTAGGTGTATTTGACCAAAAAATTTAACTGAAAATTCACATGCAAGCTTTTTTTCAAGGCTGTGGTTTTTGCCCGCAAACAATACCTTTCAGCTAGCTAAAACAGATTATTATGCTATCACCGAGCAACATGGCTAATGCCTTTCACACAGCTTTGTCTCAACTCCAAAGAGCCACAGAAGTAAAAGCTAATAATAATAATTGAAACAATCTTTGAAAAAATGACTTACCAAGCATGGCAAACAACTCAAATATGTAGAGCAAAATGTTCTGAAACGGCTTCACTTCAGCTTCGATTGGAGCCTATGGTGCTGGGGGCGGAGTCTGTGAATTTACTCTATTAGTGTCATAGCCCCTGTAGGAGTTCAGAGTTAAGAGGTCAAGAGTTAATGTTTCCATTGTAACACCTCCAGATTTGAAATAGAAACACTCATTTTTAACACTCGATTTTAACTACTATCATTTTACACCTCAGAGTTACATTAAAAGAATGTGACTCTACTTAGAGTAAAATTAACTCTAAGACTACTAACACCAAAACATTTAACACTTTTGAATTTGCTGTGTATCTTGGACAACATCCGCCTCTCAGACACCACCCTAAGGGAGTCCACACACACACACACACACACACACATTCCCCACTCGCCCCTGTGGGTGGTCTATCCTTCAAGCTCGGTTCCTCTACCAGAGAAAGTCCTACAGGATCTTAGCTCAGTAATTCGGGACTTCCAGGCCGTATTTGGCACAGATGTTTCTGTATACTATGCTGGCCGGTTATGGCGTTCCTTTTATGCCCTGCTAGCATCTTACACACTGCTGTTAGGTGCTGGATTGTCTCAGGGGCATCTTTACACAGCCTGCACCTGGGATCTTGCCTGGTGTGATAGACCCCAGCCTCTATGGATCTTGTGCTCAGAGCTTGTTCCTGTGCTGCCATGATGATTAGTGCCTCTGTGCTGTCTTTCAGTCTGGCTTTGTCCAGCCACTGGTAGGATTTCTGGATATCAGCCACCTCCGCTATCTGCAGTTGGTACATACCGTGTAGGGGCCTGTGCTTCCATGATGGTGCCTCCTCTTCCTCCTCATTCTTGGTTTTCTGCTGCCTGAGGTATTCACTGAGCACGTGGGCAGTTGGGGTCATCTTACTGATGTATTCGTGGATGTTTGTTGTCTCATCCTGGACCGTGGTGCTGACACTCACCAGTCCCCGGCCTCCTTCCTTCCGCTTAGCATACAGCCTCAGATTGGTGGACTTGTGGTGAAACATCAAGACAAGCCACTGAAATCCTTGTTTTGATGTCAGTGGCTTCTACCTCCTCCTTTGGCCACCTTATCATCCCAGCAGGGTACCTGATCACGGGCAGGGCGTAAGTGCTGATAGCCCGGATCTTGTTCTTACCGTTCAGCTGACTTCTCAGGACTTGCCTGACCCTCTGCAGGTACTTGGTGGTTGCAGCTTTTCTAGCGACCTCTTCATGGTTCCCATTTGCCTGAGGGATCCCCAGGTACTTGTAACTGTCCTCTATGTCTGCAATGTTTCCTTCTGGTAGTTCGATCCCCTCTGTTCTGACTACCTTCCCTCTCTTTGTTACCATCCAACTATACTTCTCCAGCCCGAATGACATTCCGATGTCATTGCTGTATATCCTGGTGGTGTGGATCAGTGAATCGATGCCTCGTTCACTCTTGGCATACAGCTTGATGTCATCCATGTACAGGAGGTGGCTGACAACTGCTCCACTCCATAGCCAGTGTTGTCAATGATCTCACTGAGGGGGTTAAGGCCTATGCAGAACAGCAGTGGGGACAGAGCATCTCCTTGGTAGATCCCGCACTTGATGGTGACTTGTGCTATGGGCTTGAAGTTGGCCTCTAGTGTTGTATGCCACATCCCCATTGAGTTCCTGATGAAGGCTCTCAGGGTCCTGTTGGTCTTATATAGTTCTTGGCATTCCAGGATCCAGGAGTGGGGCATCGAGTCATAGGCCTTCTTGTAATGAATCCAGGCAGTGCACAGGTTGGTCAGCCTAGTCTCGGCTGACTGCTCTGTGTACCAGCAGCTGGTGTTTTGCACCTCTGGTATTTTTGCCCATCCCTTTCTGTGCCCCGCTCATGTATTGACCCATGTGCCTCCTGATCCTTGAGAATCCCCAGAAGGGATCTGGATCCTTGAGGATCAGGACTGTCTGGCGTTCGGTTATTGTCTCTCGTCAACTAGCAGCTGGTTCATTTCTGCTGCCAGGCACTCATGGAGTGCAGTCAGCTTCTTCAGCCAGTAGGCGTGAACCCTGTCGGCGTCTGGTGCTGTCCAACTCTTCATACTGGAGACCCTT